CACACCACACACAAACACACATTACACACACAGCCCACATACACACACCCCCACATACACACAATACGTGGCGGCGGATGCTGCTAGCGAAGTAACAGTATATGATAGATCAGATTTGACCATGTGCACGTGGCTGTCAGCCTGCCCGGCTCCAGTTCTAGAACGTCATTTCCAGAGCGGCCGAGAATATGTATAAAACTTCTGCGCAGTCAAACGCGACGCAACGTCTCGCAGCGGCCATTATCGCTCAACATTAGCATTAGCCTGGCGAATTGCTAGCGCGATGTTCGAGCAAAGTGAAGCATGCTAGCATTAATGAGATTTTACTATGCTCACGGATATTATCTAGTCTACCGAGTATTTTATTCCGAGCAAACGACAACCTGGCACCTCGCTGTCTCCATTTTCTACCCGGGGGAATGGACAAAGATGTGGCGCTAATGTGTGTCAGTTGAGTCAGATCGCGCCAAATGATTATTTTCGCCCCACCGCGTGCGAATAAGGACCCACATTTGCTGCCTATTCGCACCCGCCAGGTGATGCGACACAAGGACACGTTGCTTTGCTATTCGCACTGCGGCACACACGGCGCACCACACACACACACACACACACACACCACACACACACACCACACACACACAGCACACACACACCTGCTACACACAACACACACAGCCACACACACACACACAGCGACGACACAGCACGACACACAAACAGTGAAACATACACACACCACACACACACTGCTACCCACACACACGACAAACACCTCCCGCTCCCCCACACACAACAACACACACACACAACACAAACAACACACACACCACTGCTACACCACACACAACTATCACCACATTCCACACACAGCACACGAACACACACAGCATCACACAGCGAGGCACACTAATCACCACATACTTGTACATCACACACAAACACACACACACACACACCCACCACGCATCCACAGCACACACGACAACACATCACCACACACAGCACTACTGACCTATAGTCACACCACCACCACTTGCGCACCGTATACAGCCATCTACACACCAATACCAACACCATACTACACACAACCCCATCATTAAACACTACCCCACATATCCACACAATTGTGGCGGTGATGCTATGCTAGCGCACAGTCGATGCTCTTTGATTACCATATTATGTTTTTAGATCAGAGTTTATTTGAACTCAGTGTTGCAGTCTGTTTGTCTGCTCTTTAGGCCTGCCCGGCTCCAGTTTTTGAAATCGCATAAATATTCAGACCACGTTCGTGCCACTTTGCCGAAGAATATAGGTCTTTGGACAGTCAGAACGGGCTACGCCGAAGGTACACAGCGCCAGTTTGGCGCCATTACATTAAGGTCGATGAGCCTTGCCGCGCAATTTGTATCGAGCCGCGATTGCTTCGAGCAAAGGATAGCAGCCCTATGATAGCATAAGATTTTACTATGGCTGGCACGGAGAACCTACCTTACTGATTCTACCTACCGCAGCACTATCTCCTATTCTTTTCGGCGATCCACATCGACATAGTCGCGTGCACCTTCGGCTGTCTGCCACCTTTTTACCCGCGGAATGTGTACAAAATGTGGCTCTGCTAGTCCTGTGCAGTGGATTCAAATCGCATAATGGGTGATATATTCGGCACCTCGGCGTGGCGAATCAACGGCACCCACATTGGCCCGTATCGTGCACCGCACGTCACACCATACACTTCAATCCAGCATTATTGTATTACTCGCATCATTCGATTTATCCTATGATCTGCAATCGCATCACAATAATCCCAGCTTCAATTCAGTACAGGCGGTCACCTCAGATCCCCATCAACGTCTTGCTCGCGTGAATTTCGTGCCACTGCGGCCACCACACCCTAACACACGAGTCCACACCACACATCAACCCTCACGACAGTCACACACACCCACACACTATATACAATTTCCTCATCTCTCCTACCACTTCACCACACCACAGATACAAACCGACCTTCTCTACGTCCGTATACTTTCACTGCGCTCCTAGCATAACAACACACCCACCAAAGCTGACGACCAACACACTTACTACCACACACACACACCACACACAACACACACACACAAACACCACATAACACACACACACCACACGTAGTCACCAACATCAGCACAAGACACCCCCCCCCCATCAACACACACTACACACCAACACACACACCAACACACACCACACCACAAACACACACACCAACCCCACACCACACACACACACAGTACACACACACACACACACCACACGACTGTAGCTACTCACACACAGAGCCACACACACGACACGACACCACACCCCACACACACACACACACACACACAACCCCTACATACACCACAATCGCTGGCGGGGATGTCTGCCGATTGTCGAGTGCGGCTGTGGCGAAAGTGAAGCATTGCAGGATAAAATATTTTTACCATGCACAGCGTGCGTTGTCAGCCTGCCTGCGCTCCACTTTAGAACGCTATAAGAACGGCCCGAAGAATATCTATCGTTGGGCAGTCATGCCCGGCGACGTGACCGTCCGCTCGCCATCTTTAGCCCATACATTGCACGGCATAAGCTTGGGAATCTGTTGCGCGCAGTGCGTGCGGAGCAAGAGTCGAACGCATCGACTAGAAAAAGATGTTTACTGATGCACACCCGAGATTATTACTGATCTACGAACGATATATTATTTTATATCCGGCCTAGGCAACGCCACAACCAGCACCTCGCTGTCTGGCCATTTTTGACCCGTCTCAGGCGTATTGGATTATACAAAAGGAAGCGCCATGTGCTGCGAGCTAATACAGCACCCTCTGTTGGCTCTGTGTGCCCAAAGTATGAGTATTCGCTCCACGACCGCCCGCCGTGTCGCCGCGCGCAGTCCGACCTGCACGACGATTTGCTGTTTAATGTTCGCACCCCGCCTGCGCGATCGGCGTACAGCAAGAGACCACGCTTTAGTCATTGCTGATTCGCACCGTAGGCGCAGCACACACACAGCGACACACACACACAACACCCACCACAACACACCACACAACACCACACCACCACACACACACCACACACCACATATCACACACACACACACACACACACACACAACACACACACACTGTACACCACAACACACACAGCACCACCAAACCCACACAGCCACACACACACACACCCACACACACAGCACACACACCTAGTACACGAACCCACACACAAACACACCAGCACACTACACACAAACACCACGACCACACACACACACTCACAGCACCATCACACACACACACACACATGACACACACCCCTACATACGACAAAAATGCGTAGGTGCGGATGCTGCGAGCGAACAGTGAAGCAATGTAGCATTAATATTTTACCTGTTTCATACCAATGCACACGTGCTGCTCAGGCGCTGCCTGGCCTTCCGACTTTGGAAGTATAAGAACGCGGCGCGCCGGAAAATATTTAATTCCTTGGCCAGTCAGTCGGCGACGACGGGAGTTCCCCGTCGCAGCGCCATTTGCCCATACATTCAGCAATAGCTGGAAGATTGCCTAGCGCGATGCTTGTCGCGCTGAGCAGAAGTCGAAGGCATGTGAGATAAAGATTTTTTACTATGCACACGAATTTTTACTACTCCTACGATACTATATTTATTTTTTCCGGAGGCGAACGAACAACCCGGCACCTCGCCTGGTCTGCCCATTTGTTTGACCCGGGAATCGCGATGACGTAAAAGTAGCCGCCCAACGTGTGCAGTAATCAGACCGCCAAATTATACTCTCGCCACCAGCCGGTGCGAATTAAGGACACATTTGCTGCTCATGCGCACCGCCGGCCGCATTAGCGAAAACAAAGCGACACGTTTGCTTGCTATTCGCATCTGCGGGTTCCCGCACACACAGCACACAGCGACAACACACGACACACACCCACACACACACACACCACACAACACAGCTGTACACACACACACCACTGTACACATCTACACACACACAAGACACACATACACACAAACCCCCACTGATACACACACATAACAGCTACAATCGTGGCGCGATGGCTGCCTAGCCGAAGTTGATACCCCTTTAGTGAAAGTACTTATGAGATCAGATTTATACCATGTAGCACGTGCTGTCAGCCTGTCCGGCGCTCCAGTTTTGAACGCATAGGCACTGGCCGAAGAATATTATCTTGGCCAAGCGTCAACGGCCGACCGATTCGTCCGCAGCGCCATTTGCCATACAAATATAAGCATAGCTGGGGGAACATTGTAGCGCATTGCTGCGCAGCCAAAAGTGAAGCAATTGTAGAGAAGATTTTTCACTATGCACACGTAGAATATTACTATAACCCTACGAGATATTATTTTTTGCGGGAGAACGACAACCGGCACCATCGCCTGTCTGCCATTTTATTGACCGGGAATTGTGACAAACGGTGCCGAGTGTGCATGTGATCGAGCATTCGTGCCAAATGACATTCGCACCGCGGGTGCGACATTAAGGACACATTTTGCTGCTACTTGCGCCACCGCGGGGCGAGTTGGCGAGCAAGAGCAGGGAGACTGGAGCAAGAGCGAGGGATAAGGGAGCATGGGGAGCGGGATGGGAGCAAGGGAGAGAGAGACTGCATGGAGACAGTTATTGGGGCCGTTTCACGAAACTCTCGCTAAGTTAGTGATGGGTTAAAGAGGGGTTTTAATTAGGATATCCTTATATTTAGAGTGTTTCACGAAAGCCTCGCTAAGTTTCCACGTTTCACAAACGTGTCGCTAACTCAACGACTTTGCTATTAAAGAGGAGAGTTAGACTGTCAGCTATCGTACAGCAAGCAGCGCGAGATTTCCCGCGTGTTTTCAGGTGGATATATGTTTCTATGCCACCGACTGATCGCGTGACGTCAGTGTACGTCACGCACGAACTCGGCTATCTCCGAAGTAAAGTTGAATGCATACAGCCTAGCTGCTGATGCGGCGTTTGTAGGTGGCTAAGTCCTGTCATGGAAGTTCCTGTACTGTTATGTTGGACTTTTTGTCAGGTATTGACAGTGATTTTTTCCAATGTTTGATATAACAATGTATTGATTATTCATGCGCGCCACACTGGCCTTCCATTCTTGGTAGCTGAATATTTAAACCATAACTATAAGTATAATCCAGCAGGAATTTAACTGTGAGAGTTCCAAAATCTATACTATTACTAGTATATTACTATTAGTATTACTATAGTCTATAGGCCTACTAATACTATAGCTCAAGGGGTCGTTGTCATAACAGGTACTACAGTATGTACCCGAGGTACATATATGTATGCACAAAGTGTACGAGACTTGTAGTACAGAAGTGTACCCTAACCCTAACACTAACTCTAACCCTAAACATACCTGATAACAGTGATATAAAAATATAAACATAATACTAAACAACCTAAAACTACGGTGCACCTAAAACTACCTCGGGTACATATCTGTAGTACCTGTTACGACAACGACCCTTCGTGCAATACTATAGGCCTATAGCATAAGCATAGGTGCAGCTTTTAATGTGCAATATCAGACGAAAATTTATTGTATCTATATGTTCACCTCCTACAAACTTCTGTTTATCGCCCTCTCTTTTCATTCTCTCTCTCTCCCTCCCTCCTCACACACATGCGCTCGCTTCGCTCGCCTTCTTCGATCGATCGCTAAGCCGCTTCGCTCTTATACTCTTCTTGAAACTTGAGCCTCCAAGGGCCTGTGCTTAAACTAACCATTTGTCGACCCTTGGATAAGTGGCAATCATCAAACAGACTCAAACATGCACATGTTATGTGTATGCATCATTGGCATTGCATGTGAATACTGCATTAAATACTAGCAGTATGTAAGTCTGCAAACCGGTTCTGGCATTATATCGCCGTGGGAATGTAAACACACCTAATCTAGTGCAACAATGTATAATAAAACTCAAATGTGTAATTATTGTATTTTAAATTTTTGTTGTTTCTCGGCAACAAAATCAGGCAAAATTAAATTATTTTAACATTGCACGTACGTTTGTACTTGCCTATAGCCTCGTCTACGAAATTTAACTCGAGTTAAGCGTCTATACGGGGCCTTAACTCGAGTTAGCTTAACCTCGCCAGTCGATCGAGGTTAAGCTAACTCGAGTTAAGGCCCCGTATAGACGCTTAACTCGAGTTAGAAAATAGTACATAACTCCACGATAGGCGGCAACACTTGTACTTAGTGTTGACATCCGGGTATTCGAGAATCGCTATCGGGTGTTGTCGTGTAGACGCTACATAATCGCTAACTCGAGTTAACGCTTAAAGGGATTGTTTACTCTAGGTTCTAGGGTTATTTTCAGTTAATTTAGGTTAAAATTACACTACATAAAAAGTTTCATGGTTCAATCGCCATTAGAAATATTATTAAAAAATGTTTTAAAACTAACGACTACAGTTTGATTACAACGACGGTGTCGCCACTCAAAGCGCACGATCTGATAAGTTGCGCAAAACCACTTCAGCCAAGGGCTACAGACCGAGGGTGTTTCTTATTTAATAATTTAAAAGCAAAAGGATTGTAATATCTTATGAATGACATATAGTTTCAGTTATATTATGGATAAATTTGTATTAAAATGAACATCGTTCAGTTAAATAGCATTTAGGTATAAATATAATTGCACATGTGATTAGCCGTCGGTCTGTAACGCGCAAAATAAATTGGCAAATACGCAACTTTTTCAGGGTGGCAGCACGGTCGCGGGTGTCATGGCGCCGTTCACATTTCGTAGCGTTGATGTGTAATTAATTATAACAATTAAATTCGGTATCTGATAACAATATATATAAATGTACAGTTTCATGGCATATGCTAGCTAATATTTAGTTATTATTTCTCCAGGGCTGCAAGGAAAATGGATGTTGAATGTAGGAAGTTTACTCATAATTGCCAGAAAGAACTGATGAGGTTGTAAAGCCACCTGCTAGGAAGTAACCTGTATGTGAGATGGGTTGATATATTATTGATGCATGCAAAATGTATTTATTGTTAGCCACAGCTGCCTTTCGCTGTAGTTCCATATGTGCAACTACATAGGTTCTTAAATTAAAATAATGAAGTATAATTCTGCACAGTCAATTAAAACGACTGCATTTCTGTTGCTACGGTATCACTGTATACAGATTCGGAATAAGCAAAGGCGATTTGATAATTTGTTGAACATTTTTAAATAAACTCGTACGCACCGTGTCTTATATTTCAGTTAGATAAAACAACTGCTAGACATTTTACTTCCATAGTAGCAAATGTAAAGCTAGTGTATTTGAGCATGCTAATGTGACCATGTGAATTTTGATGGGAGGCACGTCCTCCCTCAATATTACTTTGTATCATTAAGTTTTAATTAATAAATATGTCTGTTTATGTATTGCATGGATACAACAATTTTCTGATCTGACATTTTTTCTTACAGACAACATGTTTACTGACTGATTTACAAATTTGGTTAATATGATCAACCCAAATAAATTTTTCATCAAGAGACATTTTGTACACTAGTGACAGTTGTAACTTTTCCATACACGTGACATACACACAAGTTATCAATGCGTACAGAACCATTATAAAATACAATATTAATAAACACCTTAATACATGTATATTTAACTACACAGGATTGATAAATATGTTTGCAATATACTAAACGATGGTTATATTATACGCCAGTCCGTCGAGTTCAAGTTAATCAATCGCCACTTTTCAACACACATTCAACGTATGTCACTCAGTCTCGTCATAGAACGTGTGTCCCCACAGATAGCAAGCATTGCGTCCAGGCATTTGAAAATTACGTAATGAACGTAGGAGATCTGATGTACCTATATAACGACCATAGTAAGTCACGTGCACGAGATCGCTATCTAGTTGTATCTGTTGAAGGACAATGGTGCAACGTTTAAAAATTCACAGGGTCTCAGCTTCGCAGATCGTCGTACCAAGTAAAGCTGTCAGAGTGCAGCTGGTACCTTAACCGTTCGGACATCACAGATGATGAAAGCAGGCTCAGCTCGTGTGCAGTTCCACCATCACCAGATCCTCCACATGTACCGGAGGTGCTGATTGGAAACGTAGATGATAGTTCTACAGATGCGACTCTGCCTATTCATCAGACTTGTGCTCCCAATAGCACAGCGGACAAGACGGCAGGAATAGCGGACGACTGCGTTACTGCCGTGCTGCCAAGACGTTCAACTTGTCTAAAGCGGCCTCCTAAACACTTGGTGCTCTGTCATTCAGCTGAACATTCACATTTACTAAATAGTTCTTTTTCATCATTTCAGCAGAAGTGCCAAATCGCCCAGTTGCCGGGTGTCGTTTTTTTGGCATTTTTAGTTTTGAATATCTGAGCGTTTTTGTAGTTGGCTGAGATTCTGTCAACATCTCAGATTTTCTTTTCGACGGTAACTTTTCCTCGACTATAAACCCGCTGCTTTTGTGAGCAGATTGTTTTAATTTCAGGTACATCTGGTGGAGGCCAACTTCTACATCCTTGAGCATACTGTCATCTAGTACGTATGTTAGATTGTTTATTGACTTCAGCAGCTCCCTGCACTTGGGTCCTCGAGCACGTGGAGTATGGCTTTTTGTGGGTAGCTGCCTATATTCTGTAACGTTAGTAGTAGATTCGATTCCATCTGTAATATCATCATCACACTGAATGGTATTAATACCATCATCATTACTGCTACTGGCTCCCTGACAGTCTGCATTTTCCTCTGTTGCAGACAGAGTGACAACTTTATCAAGTACGAAAAATGCAGAACATTTGTAATATTCTGGTAAACTGTTCCAGGTATGATCGGTGTTTGCAAAAACAGCAAAGATGTGTTTGCATGGCAATCTAGAGTGTTGCCATCCATAGCAGTGACAGGATGGTTTGCTAATGTCCACCATGTATTCGATCTTTGCATCTGTCTGGCTTTTCACAATAAAGCTGTCGTCGGTTTCCCTTCGGATAACATGGTCACTAAAAGCAATAATAAATATGTATGCAGGTACAATCTTATAAGTTTCAATTTTTGTCATAGTGTTGTGCATTAGGATTTCACCTAGTTATTGAACTGGTAGACAAAACTTGAGTTGTCATTCTCAATGACATCAATTCAATATCGGTAGGTGGATTAATCTGTATTGACTGTAAAGTGTCAATCTAAAATTACCCATGGTAACAACAATTAGCAATATGATCATCTGGCTATTAGAAATGTTTTCAGACTTTCACATGATAATTGCTTTCCCAAATACGTGCAGACAATATTAATACATCTGGCCAGTGTAGCTAGTCGAGTAAGGATATTATTTCTATCAAAAATTCATACCACGTAGTTAGTGGGAGAAATACTTGGTTCACAGCCAGCTAAATCCACTATATTTGTAATGATATGTCGAGTAACATCAGAAAGCAGAACAACTGCTATACAGGTAATATAGACAAGTATGTGATATATTCTGATGTTTTACATAGCAGCATGTGATTATGAAGAAATAAAAAATTTACAAATTGTAAAGGAAATCACATTGAAACTTACCTTGGAATCTGTTCAGCAAGCTGTAACCTTTCCAAGCAATGCCTGATAAGGAAGGCAGGACGATTTCGCAGGTATACCGGAACATTATCATTGTACTTTCTGTATGTAGATGATGCTCTCCTGTTTGCATAAACATATCTGAAAGAATTGATTCAAGAAATAATTACATAGGGCAAAATAAATTTATGTCAATGAACCTCACTTATTTAAATAAATTTATTTTAGTGGCACCAATCATCATTTAAAACTCCCGTTTCAAGCCTCTTAACTGATTAACAAATTTATGGAAAACCTAACTTAAAACTTTAAACATCTATTGGGTATGAAAAATCATAAACAAATATTAGAAAAGCATTGTAAATGCATTATTTACCGTTGGTACTGGTCAGGTAGAAATTCAGTTACCAAGATTTCCACCATTCCACTGAGTGTACGCCTACCATGCTTTTGCAGGTACTCGTGTTTAAACACGCCATTCTGCCGTTCAATGCCATTATTGGTATTGATGCTTACAAGAAGACGGTCACCTCGATACGCCCATACCCATCTCTAAAACGAAATTGTTCAAATATGTATTAAAAGGCTACACAAGGAAGGTTATTACTTGTTATTGTCATTATGCTAGACACACATACATGAACGTTAGTCACTTAGAAGAATTGGCAACAGTGTATAATAACCATTTCCGGCACCACCGTTTGTATGGGTGTGGTGATAACGTACATAAGTCCAATTGCCCCTGCCCCCAAGTGCATATTCACATGACTGCATCATCCCTGATAAAGATCATTCGCTTGAAAGCAGTTAATAAAATTATCCATAATACAATAATGGATTAATCAGTTAATTATACTCTTTTACTAGACGTAATGCGGCCATGACGCCGAGGCGCGCCGAGGATTGACACTTTGGGTCTTCCAATCACAGCGTACGCCGCACCCCTCCGGTATAATTTCAAGGGTGGCCGGGTACCCATCGATGTACGGAATCGCCGATCTCAAGAACTAGGGCATTCTACTAGGCTAGAACGGTTTCCTATGATAGAGTTTGGCACAAAAACAAAAATAACACGCTGTTTAGCGCACTGCGCTACGTCCTTTCTATTGCATTTTCGCATCTCCGTAATCAGAATAAGCCCCGCCTTCTTTGTTGATGGGCATGAATGGGGTGTGAACGACGTGACCAGTTACTGCGTGTAGGTGTTTAGCGAGACCGTTTGCTTTTCGTCAATAACGAAAGGCCCGGCCGATGCATTTTGCATCGAAGTGGAAAAATTCGACATTTTTACCCGCTTTCGGAAGTGAACAAGTGCGTCATTCATTGAACATTGAAGTTTTTCTTAAAATTAAAGAATTCCGAAAATCCCTGACCGTGCTACTCGATTGTTTTAGCCAATGAACGTAGCTGTGTGTGTGTGCCGTCTTGGCCGCGCGCTTTATGCTTGGCTTACCGGGCCTCGAAATGGATATCGGAGGCAGGCACCTCGCAACACGCCTGTTTGTTTACATATAGCTTTGATTGTGACATCAGGATGGGCGGTGTCAGGAGTTCTGCGATGATAACCTCTAATTTCTCAGAATTTCTTAAGGTGCATGGAACAAAAAAGTTTTTCAATCGCTCCGTCAGACCATGTCCTCAGAAAATGTCTAAAATCTGCCCTGTGCCCCATTGACCTTTGACCTGTGACCTCCAATTTCGGCACAGTGATGGCTTTTCCTACCATGATGCTATACACCGACTATCACGAGCCTAGGTCGAGACGTTTAGATTTGTGCCGCAATTCTGCATTTCCTCCCTATACCTTAAGTTAAGGAGGGAATGTTCCCCCTTCTTTTACACCTCTTGACCTTTGACCTTTGACCCCCAGCTTCGACATCCCAACTCGTTTTCGGATTACCCCCCCCCATACCGCGTCCCGAATATCGTGACCGTACGTCGAGCCGTTTAGATTTGTGCCCAACTGTTGACGGACGCACGGACGGACGGACGATCATGCGGTTGTACAAGCTGCATCTGACTATGTCAGATGAGCTAAAAATTGAAAGGTGTGTATATTGCTCTTATTTAGCCGCCGATAGAATTCTTATTTAGAACAAAGTCTTCATTGTTATCTTCTAAAACTACAGACCATCCGCTGACCGCTGTGGAGACGTGCGCCGGGCCTCGAATTTGGCGCACGTCTCCACTGCGGACAGCGCTTCATACTTGAACATCCCCGCGGAACTGCGCGTCTCATCCGCGCGCAGCGCTCAGGATCCACAGCAAAGCTGTGTCACGCAATCCTGTATCACGTGTCTCTGGATGCATACACCCAGCAAGGTTTTCATACACATACATTGAGAATTGGCAGTCATAAAATGTTGTATACTTACTTTATACTCAGGTAGCCAAGTGTTTTCTATCCATTTACACAGTTTACTGTTTTCCCACACTGGACTAGCCTTCAGATCGTCCACTGCATTTTTGTACTCGGACTCAGATTGTGCTCTGGCAATACGTCTGAGTCTGCATAAAACCTCCTCTCGGTCATTAAAGGCATTATGATCTGTTTTCCTGAGCCACCTATCCCAAGCTTGTTCCCGATGAAAGTCGCAAAGGTACACCTTGCAATCTGTAAATAGAAGGTGAACAAGTTCCAGCTTAATATCAACTCAAGGCTTCTGTTAGGCCGTGGAATAACTATTTTCTGCTCATCAAGGACCTGCAAATCAGTTTCTACACATAAAATATAGACAGTAATAAATCGATTTATTCAATATATCAATATACTTTGATTGTCTCTATACGTGCGCATATGCTCAAAATGAAGAAGTTTATTAAATTTAGTTGACCATTAAATTCAAAATTTACAGAGCCAGTGGGTTTGAATAAGCGAGTTCATAGTTAGCAAAGTGGTATGTGAAGATTGTGAACGTGCACGTGCACGCACGCACGTGTACGTACGTGCACATGCATGCACATGTACGTGCATGCACACTTGAAAACTAGCAATACAATGAAACAGATGCATGCGTATTAATCAAATAAAGCAATACTGGTGGTAAACATATGTACCGTCAAAAACGTCTTCGATACTGTGAATTTCTGCCTCACAGAAGTCGGACATAAAATGAGCCGGCTTCCAGTCTGGATTCCACTCAGCTAATATCTTCAGAGCTTCACGAATGGCATCTTCCCTTTCAGATTCAGTAATGAAAGTGGCAACTACTTGGTAATCTATGTTAGTTTTTACGACAACAAAGAAGAGCGGTAGAGAGTAGCGTGTCGTTTTGTAAGTAGCATCGAGAAATGCCAGTTCATTCCCATATAGTTCAAGGAGCCTTCTCTGACTGTCTGTCTGGTAGATGAACAGGAGATCATCATCATCATCTTCTAATGATGGCCGATAGAAAATGTTATGTCCTGGCTCCTGCTCCCATCTCTCTATGATTTTCGTCAGGTTTTCCTGGTCAACTGTGGAAAACTTCATTTTTTGCTTGGCACGGCACATATGAGCGCGTATGTCTGCCTTGGTTGGGAAAAAGGCACGATTGGTACGTGGTGGTAGCTCTCGTCCAGCAAACATATTCTTGACGAACCAACATAAGTGCCGCTTCATCTCTAACACCGTACTGACTCCTTCTCTAACCATGTCGCGGAGGTAGTTTAGCACACGCTTGTCCATCATCAGTGAAACACCACTTCCCTGAAATCAAAAATTATATATCGCAACTGGTAACATTTACAGTGTAATTCCATGGAATTTCCATTCTCTTTATTTACTACTTTGTCAGAGCCATCAGAGGTCTATAGATAGTTGTTTATGCGCCATTCCAGCAAAAAATCCGACTTTAATACCCCGTACAGACTACGAATTTGATATGGTATTAAACTAGCGCGCGCCAGGCCTGCGCTAAATATTTGCAGTGTGTACACGCTATCCCACTCCAAATACACGCTGGCCCGCTCCAAGTTGGCCCCGCAAATAAAGCACGGCCAGTCCCGGGCTAACTTAGCCCGCTTGTGTGTGTGCCTGTAGACAACAAGCGGGCCACACCAGAGGCGTGCTCAGGAGAGCGAACGCTCGCCTTCTGAACGACACTGCGCGAGCGAGCGAGCGAGCGCGCACGCGCAAACTCAAAAGGCTGTTCGCTCAGCACGCGGGTTGTTTACAAGATGGCGACGGGCAATCTGGCAAATGGGAATCTAAAATTTCTGACTTCAATTTGCAATCTATTTCAACTTCATTTCATTTTTCATTCATTTATTTACTTCTAAATTCAATTCGTATCAATTTCGTCTGCTATATCGTTTAACAGTACTTGTTCGAAGACATTAAAATCTCGCGATTAAAATCTGCTGAGTAACCCTCCATGGGGGCCGCCATCATGGATAAAGCCAGCGCACAGCGAGCGCTCGTGTGTCGTTCAAGAGGCGCTGCGTTCGTTCATCGAGCGCTCGCTCTCCTGAACACGCCTCAGGTGCTAAATTGCAATACACATGTGCCTAGCCTTATTTGGGTCACGTAATTGTGCGCTCGCTGTACCTCGCAAAAAAAGGTATATTTTTTAGCCTTACCTCTCCAACAGGATGATTCCTGTGATCACTCATATCCGGTAGGTGCACATGCAGTTCTTTTCTGACGTTTTCTATGCACAATGTTGGCAGGGCTTTTTTAATTGCCTTTGAGGATTTATTCCTGTAAGATTCAGTGTCTTTCTCAACCTGAAGTGTACAAATTTAATATACTGTTAAGATAAACAAAGCAATCAGGAGCAATGACAGGCATTCCAAATAACAGAATTTAACATAAAAAATATCTATGACATATCATGTATATAAAATACAACATAGGTGCTAAAACTAAATAATGATCATCTGCATGATAATTCAAGCAAAATGTAGCTGTCAATGTCACTATTTATTTCTATAAACATTAAAATCTTTTGATGGAAACCACTCTCCTGCAAAAGTGTGATAAATACCAAAATCGGCCAATTATGTAGCTGGAAATGACACAACTATACCCTAAAATAAACTAGAAATGGCAGTTGTCGCCAACTACATGTATCCCCCGCGATCTAGTTTGGTCGTGCTAGGTCAATTAGGGGCAGAGTTATAGAGCGGAAGAGAAATATGATCAAGGATTCAAGGTCAAGGTCAAGGTCAAATAAAAGTCACAGTAACCTGATTTTGGTACGCGACACACCTCCCCAAGATGTGCAAGTATACCAAGTTTGGTCGCGCTAGGTCAATTAGGGGCCGAGTTATAGAGCGGAAGGGAAAGTGTCTGCGGCGGTGGCGGCTGGACAGACGTGAAACCATAGTATCTCGTCGCGGGGGATACAATAACTTATTACAAACCCTTAAATAACTTACCTTGAACTGTGGGAATTTCATGATTTCATTGACTGTAATTCTTGCTGGGCATCCTAATTTTTTGGTCTTTTGAATCATTAAGTTGTGCCTTTGCCATACGTGGTCAGGGCCATCCTAAAATGGAAAAAATGAGATGACTGCATGTTTTATTTCTAGCCTATCATACTAGGATAATCTACTATGTTTAATTGTTTAGCCATTTCATTTTCAGAGTTGGTACACTCACTGGCTTCTGTCTTTTTAAATACAGCTTATAAGAATTGCTTCAAATGTTTTAATGGCTATTTTACTCTGTGTGAGCCCCTAAAATGGGGTTTGAAGGTTTTTCTAGTATAACCACTCAACCATCTGATCCTACCTGTTCAGTGTATCGTTGTTATTGCAAAACTGTCATAGACGGCACCAGTTAATTGTACTGACTCTTAAATATATATAGTATGTGCCAGGAAGAAAATGGGTGGTGCGAAAGACTAAATTTGTGTCATACTCATAGCTAGATGCTTTCTAAAGACTCGAGATATTTAGAAAGCAATATATTTTTTATTTGCAGGGCTTTTGGTTAGCCTTTACTTTTAGTAGGCATATACTTGAATTGATTATTTTGTTACTGCGAGTCTTTAGCCTCGTCTACACAACGAAATTTAACTCGAATTAAGCGTTAACTCGAGTTAGCGATTATGTAGCGTCTACACGACAACACCCGATATCGATTATTACCGATTCTCGAATACCAGGATGTCAACACTAAGTACAAGTGTTGCCGCCTATCCTGGAGTTATGTACTATTTGCTAACTCGAGTTAAGCGTCTATAGGGGGCCTTAACTCGAGTTAGCTTAACCTCGATCGACTGGCAAGGTTAAGCTAACTCGAGTTAAGGCCCCATATAGATGCTTAACTCGAGTTAAATTTTGTCGTGTAGGCGAGGCTTTTATGATTAAATTTTAAAATGGCCAACCTTTTTTCTTTCTTTATATTTCTTTTTAAAGGCAACCTTCCTGTCCTTGCCATGGTGGCAGTCGTATACCATCGGTTTTGACAAAACCATGTAAGGAATGTGGTTATCCCAAAATACTCTATGTTTCTCTCCTCGAACTTTATCTAGGCTTGGGCCTATAGCTGAAATAAAATGAGACTATATTGGCTAGAGGCTTTAGCTATTACTAGTATTAGCTTAGTAATACTAATAGTAATAGTATATATATAAATAATTTATTACGGTCTATCATCACGTTACTCGTTAGTAGCCTACAAACATCCTATTAGTATTACTATTAGTATTAGGATTACTAGAGCTATTACTATTAGGCCTACATGCACACACAGCACGTGCTATATGTTATAGCTTGGGTAAATGGTCTACACTGGCCAAAACCTATGGCCTATATGGCTAGCCCTATAGTCGCTAGTTTGTTTTTATAGGCCTACTTTTTTCAAATTTCACATAGCCGGCAGTTATGACAGTCATAACTATAGTATAGCCTGTACCTGTCTTTCCGAAACTTTTCGGCTCGTGCCAAACAACAAACTTGCTAGAATTTTCCTTCTCATACGTAGATATAATTTGATGGACTTCTTCCATGCTATGAGCGACTCGAACATGTTGAACTGCATGAACTGGAGGCGTTTCACAGACAGTTTAAGAGTTCTGAGCAGCTCCCGCCATTTAGAACTTAGAAGACAGAAACACCACTTACAACCATGAGTAACGCCACCATGAGTAACCATGGTAACTCATGAGTTCCATGAGTAACGCCACCTACAAACGTCGCATCAGCAGGCTGTATCACTGATCTCTATAATAATATAATTATGATTATAAATATCATTAATATCATTAATATCATTAATAATATCATAATGATAATGATAATGATAATGATAATGATAATGATAATGATATGCATTAAACTTTCGGAGATGTTCGTGCGGTGACGTA